GATGAGACATACAAACAGAGATTCCATCTTTACATATTATCATTAGGTAGTTAATTATGTTTCTGTTCATTTTTCTCTATACTTTCTCTATACTTTACTCTGCCCGCCCCCCCCCCCAACCTCCCTTATGCTGCTTGAATTGTACTGTTTTGTTACAGATTTGTCCCGCATTTCTGGTTCAATATCTATCCTGTCTATCCTGTCTATAAACAGCTGAATGATGAACTTTTCGCGCGTTTCTTTCCAATTGTCCCACAGTACACAATATACACACTCCCCGCATTCTTGCGAGCACAATTGAGAAAAAATAAGAGAAAAAATATTCGAGTTAAAACCAGGGATTAACACTTCAAAAAGATAATTTAAAACTTTAAATTCTTATGAATAATTAAAAATGATAGTCTTGGAGAAATTCATTTTTTAAAACAATTTTCAAAAATGTCCCTGCTCGAGGAGCAACAGTGTTAACTCTAAACATCTATTGTGATTTGTAAATAATGAAGCAGTACATTCTTACTTGTAGTCTTCAAGTCCTTTTCAAACCCGACCCAAGCCAGGGGGGTGAGTATTTTATTTTGTAGATTCGAAAACTAATTTTTATTAGAAATATAATAATGTAAAATTTATCATGAATTTATTTACAAACGATGATTTTCCGTTATAACTATAAATCAAATGATGTTTTTATTCACCTAATTCATTTTATAAAGTTTATTTAACAGCTTTAAAAAAATCGGAATTGAAATGGATAGAGTAATGTATTTATGTTGCCAATTATTCCACAAAAATATCGTGATTCAGTAATTCAAATTTGGTCCTTAGCCCAATATTTCCGACAGCAAAATACAATGGGACCCATGAAACTGTGGAAAGATACTGCACTGCCATTGGCTGAAGTTCTGGTGACGTAATACAAGACTATACGGACTATATGTAATAATATTATCAATTATATCTATTAAAATGCAAACAAAATTAAAAATTATAAAAATTATAGTAGGAGCAAACCTGAGATTCTCAGGCTCCTGTGGGATATCGTCGTTTTCAGATTGGTTACGTATTTGTTGAATATGATGTGTCTTATTCAACAATTTTAATACAAAATTGCATATATATATATATATATTATGAATTTTCGTATAAATTTGACACAGTTTTATATCAATTTCTCGAGACAGGAACATCAGATAGATGTTTTATAAGTATTGTTTAACACCTGAGATGCTCAGGTTTCATTCTATACCCTCTTTCATTTTTCCTTTACAGTCCTTTAAGTTAAAACGTTTTCATTAAAAATTGGTTTTTTTAAAAAGAATAGGCTATCTTCTATTTTAATTGTAAACATTGTGAACATTGTAAAACAATGATGAAAATTGAACTTTGTTGGATTTTGACTATCCATAAATCTTTTCTGGGGTCAGTGAAATCCCAATCAAAATTTGGCCCCGATCGGTCTAGCCGTTTCGACGGTTAATTGACACAAACATACACACAGACGGACAAACAGACAAGCAAAGTATATGTATAGATAATTGATATTTCGTTTCGTTTAATGTTTCACGTTCTGGAATTTTTTGTCAGGATTTTCTCAAATACTTCTTTAAACCATAAATGTATGGGGTTCAAAAGAAATTAATTAAGTAAGGTTAAGCTAAGTGCAAAGTTCAAGTGACGCTTCAAAGTCGACCCAATCATATTATCGGAATTTCCAAAAAAATAAATTTTCAAGTACATTGTACTCTAAAGAATTGTTTTAATCGAATTCAAAAAAGATTTCATATCAGAACTCTACCCTTTTAAGTTAAAACGTATCTTATTAAAATTTGTCTTGGCTAAAAAATCATTTGCTTTTATCATTTTCGTTTATTTTTAGTTTTCTGAACAGTATTGAAACAATGCCTTCGTGCTTGAATTAAACTAAATGTTTCAAAATCTAAAAACTTTCTCTCTTCATTGATAATGATGCAGCAAGAAAAAATTTCCGGATTTGAAGAAAAAAATCCACTAAAACTATATAATCCTTTGATCAACCCAACAAACCACGTTCCGGGATTTTAATCCACTGGAAAGAAAAAGAAAATCCTTTTACATCCAAATCTTATTTTATTTTCTGATAAAATTTGGAGAAAGTTCGAAATCCAATTTGTTGATTGATTAATACATGCAAATCCCCCTGGCCGCCGCCCCTATCCTGGTCCACTGCCCCCGCCCTACCCTCTCTCCTATTGGTCCAGATGATCAGTGTGACTCAACTGTGATTGGTCCGACAGTTGGCGGCGAATAACCATTTGGGAAATGCGCGAGACGATGCGCTCAAAATGTTCCAGTTCAATTCTGTGATTCCATACAGTGAGATATACGACAGCTGCACACAGTGTACACTCCGCAGTACGATACCGTACAGTACAGTTATAAAAACATGATTGTAGAGGAGCTCATCACCGCTAAAACGGAACCGGAAATTGATTTTATCAAACCGGAAATAGATTTTAAAGACAATTACATTACTTGCAATGGATGTGGATATGGGATACATGAGGAATTCATTCTAAAGGTAAAATTTATTTACAGTGATAATCAAAACACTCTGAAATAGGAAGACGCCATTTTAACTTAAATAGTCCAATTCACACTTGTATGCCGAGTCCATTAGCGCCTGATCCTACAAGCATTATTTAATCTCGAGATTAAGAAAAAGAGTGGATCAAGCATTAATCCTGATGATATACACCATCCAAAAGTTCCCAGCTCTGAACCAATAGAAATTGTGTGGCGGTAACATCTATCTTTCTATCTAGCTTATTATCCAATTAGAGATATGAATACTTTAATCGGCGCTATAACAGTAAATGGAAGTATTTACTTCTTCTGAAAATATAGTGAGCTAGCTTGAGACAAAGCAATTGGGCAATATAAACAGACCCATTTCACTTAAATAGTAATTTAATAAGTGTTTAGTTAAACAATTTGTTTTTTAACAACATCAGATACACTTCAGTATTGCTTTAAAGTCGTCTTCCAATTTCAGAGTTTCTGGTTATCACTGTAAGCATATACTTTAACTAGTTTGGGAACCCAGCGTTTTCCCAATTAAGTTTCACCATTGAAATACAAGTCTACTAGTACTAACTCAAATTAGAACTTTTAAACCAAGCTAAGAACAGTTCCGTGGTTCCAATGAGGCAAATCGGTCAAGGGGTTCAAGAGTTATGATCTTATATCCAAACAGACAGACAGACAAAGATTACTACTTAATGTATAAAATCTACGAGTTAAAAAAAACCATAATCTTATTTATAGTAATCAATCAAAGTCAATCCTACAGAAACTTTAAATATAAAGTTTATTCAGATTTTGGTTGAAATGAGCTAAAATCATTTTTTTAAATAGTGTGACGAAGACGATATCATTTATAAAAACTTACATGTTAAAATAAATCTAGAAAAATACAGATAAGTTGTCCATGTTATAAATAAAAAATGCCCAGAATTCTCCACTTACATCCATTAAAATTCAAACATTTACGAATTTTATTTTTTATTCTGAATTTTTCCGGCCAATTTTCAGAAGCGTGTTTTAATTAAAACTAAACTGTCCCGAATTCCTTTCCTGGTTTAATGGACGCTTAGGAATATTTAAAATATTGAATATACCATTATTCAGCTAATTACTGATTATAGAACTCATGCATGTATGTTTAAGGGGGTACGCAATATTAAGTTTTAAAACACTGCTTTAAGAATTTTTGATTTTCAACTATTTTCTGAACTGAGTGTAGTGCACAAAGGTAGTGCACTTTCAAAAAACATTTCATTGAATTTAAAGAATAAAAAATGTTAGAATTTAAGATTGTGGCAAAAATGTTAAAAACAATAATGTTTATGGCTTAAAGGCACTTTGCGTAACTTTAAGCAAACCTCCATTCAAAGATGGTAGTTTAAGATGAACCATGGTACCCTTTAAAGCTTTGTCTGATCAAGTATTAATTAGAAATGCTTGTTTTTGTTTAATTTAAACGTTTTATTTTTATTTGCGAATCGCGCATTTCTTGCTTATAAGAAACAATGGAGAAACACGACGTTATCTTCCAGGGTTTCAAGGGTACCGTTGTAAATCGGGCAATGCTATATTTGCTTCGAGGGTTGCTTAAATACACGCTTACTGTCCCATTAACAATCCTAGAAACTCCAAAAATTTCTTGTTTTAAAACAAGATTTTTCCTTTTGATTTTACAATGACTGAGTTACACCGTGTCAGGCTTAAACAAAAAGAGAGTAGATAATGGCCAATGCACAGATTTTTGTTCTTAAAATTGTAAAGACGATGTATATATAGTTATCCCGCCGTTTACCCGTGTTTGATCGAAAATTAAAACCAAGAACATTCACGTGGTTCTACCGAGTTCCCACATCAATACAATTAAATCAATGTAATTAAACTGTATATCTTGTAATATAACTGCATGTCTTGTCAAATGTCTCAAAGCTTTTTGATTTAACAAAAGTTTGTCTTTCATGTCATTGCTGAGCCTTTCATGTCAAACTTCACTACCCTTTATCTTAAACCTTACCGCCTTCCATGTAAAAGAGCACCGCCTTTCATGTCAAACCATTTATCTTAAACTTTACCGCCTTCCATGTAAACGATCACTGCCTTTTATGTCAAACTTCACTACCCTTTATCTTAAACCTTACCGCCTTCCATGTAAACGATCACTATCTTTCATATTAAACTTCACCGAATTTTCATGTCGAACTTCGTTGCTTTCAACCTTCATTGATTTCGCGGGAATTTCGTATTTTTTTAGTACCCAATATTCATTCCTTTTGGACATACGTTGTGAACCAATATGTATTATAAACAACCTTATGCTGAATATTTCTCTTTGTATGTCAAATTTTTCGTGTTATTTTCAAAAAATAACTTCAATGAATTTTAGCCATTTTTTTTAAAACACGAAATATTTTTTAGTAATATTCACTGAAAAATGAAAAGCCCACCAAATTAGCACGGTGACCAGAATGTGAGCAGTGATTTATCAAACAATTCATCAATTAAATATTGATCCTTTGTTTTTTTTTCAGGTTGGAGATAAAAGTTGGCACAGTTCTTGTCTGCGCTGTTCAGTTTGTGATGTTCTTCTTAATTATGAAAATTCTTGTTTTATCAGAGACGACAAGATCTTGTGTCGACAAGATTACACAAAGTAAGTTCTTATTAATTTCTAGATCTTGTGTCGACAAGATTATAGAAAGTGAGTTTTCATAACCAGATCTTGTGTCGACAAGATTACACAAAGTAAGTTTTTATTCATGGCCAGATCTTGTGTCGACAAAATTATACAAAGTAAGTTTTTATTCATGACCAGATCTTGTGTCGACAAGATTACACAAAGTAAGTTTTTATTCATGACCAGATCTTGTGTCGACAAGATTACACAAAGTAAGTTTTTATTCATGGCCAGATCTTGTGTCGGCAAGATTATGCAAAGTAAGTTCTTATTCATGACCAGATCTTGTATCGTCAAGATTACAAAAAATAAGTTCTTATTAATGCCAAAGTAAGTTCTTCTTCATGACAAGATCTTGTGTCAACATAAATAACGTAAATATTTATACTTTGTTTTACTTATTATTATAAATAATTAAAATTTATTTAATTTATTATTTAGAATACTTGAAACTTATGCTAAATAATAAAGAAAGAAGTAACAAATATTATTCTATTTATTATTTAGAATATTTGTAACTTATTATATTTATTGTTTAGAATATTTGGTACTTATTCTATTTCTTATTTAGAATATTTGGAACTTATTCTATTTCTTATTTAGAATATTTGGAACTTATCCTATTTATTATTTAGAATATTTGGAACTTATTCTATTTATTATTTAGAATATTTGGAACCTATTCTATTTATTATTTAGAATATTTGGAACTTATTCTATTTATTATTTAGAATATTTGGAACTTATTATATTTATTATTTAGAATATTTGGAACTTTTCCTATTTATTATGTAGAATATTTGGAACTTATTCTATTTATTATTTAGAATATTTGGAACACGTTGCTCTAAATGTTGTCATCTTATTACACAGAACGATTGGATTAGACGAGCGGGCGAACAGGTAGAAAACATTTGTACCATGTACACCATTGTACATGGTGTACACTGTAAAGTTAAACTCTTGAGACTATGGAAAAGCAAGACGACTGGTAGACTCAAGTTATGATTTTAAATAGTCCGATGAAAATAAAACACAGCAATTTGAATTATTTTACTTAATCAACATAGCAACATCAAATAAGATTGCTTAAATGTCGTCTTTCTTTTCTATAGTTTTTTGATTCTCACTGGACGTACTCCATTTAAAGAAAATGCTAGAACACAAATGAATGAATGAATCATTCAACTCATCTACCAACCAACTAATGAGTCAATCAATCCATCATTCAACTCATCTACCAACAAACTAATGAGTCAATCAATCAATCATTCAACTCATCTACCAACCAACTAATGAGTCAATCACTCAATCATTCAACTCATCTACTAACAAATTCATGAGTCAATCAATCAATCATTCAACTCATCCACCAACAAATTCACGAGTCAATCAATTATTAAATAAATCAATTAATCCCTGCTTCAGGTCTTCCATCTTGCATGCTTTGCTTGTGATTCTTGCACCAGACAACTTTCTACAGGTGAAAACAAATCTCATTAAATAAAAAAATCCCTGTTTGAAAATCTTTTCATCTTTTATGTAAAAACTAGCTGCCTGTAGAAAAAAAGAGAAAATTCTGAAAAAAAAAATCAAATTGGTTTTAGCCTATAACACCCATGAGTGTCCACAAAAAATTGCAGCCCAACCAGTCCGTCCGTTTGGCCGGCTGTAGGCAACATATATATATACGAATGTCTTGTTTTATTGTATAGATTGTTTAATCAGTTTAATACAAGTTACAAAACTGAATTTGATTTTTTGTTAAAATCTTTATTATAAACACTTCATTTGCTTTCTGAATATTTGTTCAGCCTCTCATTGCTAAAAATATGTAAAAAAACGTATTCTTTTAAGAAGCAGTGATTAAAACATTTCAACGTCTTTTTCTGTCTTTAAATTGAAGCACAAAATAAATTTGTTGAAAAGTTAAAAATAATTGTTAAAATTCCTTTTTTTATGTTAGGAGAAGAGTTTGGTTTGGTTGAGTCACGTGTTTTATGTAAATCTCATTATTTAGAAATTATTGAAGGTAACATTTTATTCAAATTCAAACTCTAAATTTTAAAATAAATGAATGAATGAATGAAAGGATGAATAAAAGGATGAATGAATGAATGAATAAATAAATGAATAAATGAATGAATGTCCAGGAGGTTCAGGTTCCTCTACGGATGGGGATTGCTGTGATACTGAGGCTAACAGCAAGAAGAGAAAATCAAAAAGAAATAGAACAACTTTTACAGATGAACAAATTCATATACTTCAGGTCAATATTTTATAAGAGTAGTTCTTCAATGACTATCGTTCTTCAAAAAAAATAATATTTTTTAACTTTCGTTTTTAAGTAATTTATCTTTAGGCCAACTTCCAAATAGACTGTAACCCTGATGGACAGGATTTGGAGAGGATTGCAGATATCTCGGGATTAAGTAAACGTGTTGTACAGGTAACAAAACCAGTTTTAATCTTAAATTCAAAATGGCCACCAATCTGTTGAATATAAAATCATTGAGCTGTGTAATTTAATGTACAGAGTTGTCCACAAAAGATGAGACTTCAGAGACGACTGTAAGGAATTTATTTAGTCACTTTTCCTGCATTGTTAGTTAATTAATTATAATAAGTTAAGAATTGTAAGTCTTCATTAAATTATCATCTTTTGTGGGTAAACAGGAGAAAGTCTGTGATAAAATTAAGCCCTTGCTGATGTCTTTTTCAAATTACTGTGCGATTGGGTGGTTTAAGATGACAAAATTGGTTCACTTGAATCAGAAATATTAATAATAAGGTTCCAAAAATGTGACATTTTATTTGTATGTTTCTAGGTCTGGTTCCAAAATGCCCGGGCCCGGAATAAGAAGTATATCTCTAAAAACCGAAGCCTAGGACCCGGCACGACGCTCTGTGGACCGGATCAGATTGATGTTAACATTGCCTTCTCCGCCTTCTATTCTGGGTCTCCAGGTTGGAGTAGTGCTTCAATAGGCAAGCTATACATACATTGATAGATAGAAGGATAGATAGATAGATAGATAGATAGATAGATAGATAGATAGATAGATAGATAGATAGATAGATAGATAGATAGATAGATAGATAGATAGATAGATAAACTTTTAAATGATAGATTAATTGATTGGTTGTAAACGGTTGATTGATTGGTTGATTGATTGATTGATTGTTTGTTTTATTGATTGAAAGCAAGAAATGTAAGAGGAGGAGTTTAAGGATGGTTTAGGTAAGAATTGAATTAGTAAAGTTGGAAACTTGTTAATTCCTGTTCTGCCCAAACCAACCTTCCACTTTTTTGTTTTCTCAATCAATCAATTATCCGACTTGTGTTCAATCAATTAATCAACTTTTTCTGCAACTTTTCTTATTTCAGAAAACGAAATTGAGACGTCAGGTCCATGCTTCACTCCACCGACACAAGTATAGGTGTACTACTCTGTACTACAGTGTACATACCAGTGTGCTACCGTGTACAATTTTACAAACCAGTGTACTCCATATTGTACATACCAGTGCTAAGAACAGTGAATTTATGTATACAAAAACCCTCCCTCTCCCAGTTAATAATATGCACATTTGTACATGAAACATATCCATAACTTCAGCATGTACTATCTATGTACATTAGTGATATTGTGACTTTGTGCAATTTTCTTGTTTTTTTTTCTGTTGCGTTAAACAAATTTAATTTGATTAAAGTTCTATTCCATGAAATTGATAAAAAATTGTTTGAATTCTAAAGATTAGTTTTAGATGTTGATCTAGTCTGTGATATTGAATACATAGCTTTTATAAACCAGTTTGCCAACTTATGTAAAGGGAGTACAAGGATAAAGTTACAGTACACATGTGTATGTTGTACAGGGAAATAAATTCAAGTGCAAGTCTAGTCGAAAAAATTAAATTGAAACAAAACAGTGCAGCATTTACATTCTGTCAATAATTGTACATTTTATTTAAAATTAAACATTACATATCATTTGGTCAGATAAATGGCACTATGCACAGTTATAAATCACTTCTTGGCATCGTACATTTAATTTTCAATGTTTCTTCATAAAAATACATTTACTTTCCTGTACAGTGTACAATGATCTTGTTCAAGTAAATTTTCCAGATTTATGATTTTCCCTGTACACAGATATTTACTCGAAATGGTTGTTTTCTTATCATATCAATTGTTAAGCATGCAGTACAGTACAGTACAGTACAGTACAGTACAGTACAGTACAGTAGAGTAGAGTACAGTACAGTACAGTAAAGTACTTTACAGTACAGTACAGTACAGTACAGTACCGTACAGTACAGTACAGTACAGTACAGTACAGTACAGTACAGTACAGTACCGTACAGTACAGTACAGTACAGTACAGTACATTTGTACTACAGCACAACGTACATACATAGTTTCTGTACTAATCAAAGCAATATCTATTTAATATACTCTAAACGTTATTTCATAATATTAAAAGCAAACATAGTTTTATTTTGAACCGTTCAGAATTATTCTTTTAAAACTAGATTCTTGAATGAATTTAGAATTCTGATTGGTCTAATTTGATACGTATCAAGTTATAATTGGTTGAATTTAAAAATCCTTAGTTTTCTATGGTTATTTAGGAATCATGCAATGGGCCTAGTATATATTTTTTCATTGTTTGATCCGTTTTAAAAATGTCTTTGCAGTCTGAAGGATTGGATTAAGTTAATTTGTTTTGGAAATCTCTAAAGTTCAGGCCATACCGACTTCAGGTCAATGAAAACTTTCAATAAAATCTAAACATTTTCGTTAAAGATATTATAAGCTGAAGCGCTAATTCCTTTCAAAGTTTTGACATCAGCTTACTTTTATCATTTGTTTTTCTATGTTTGCTGAAATAAATCCATTCTAAAATTATTATTTGACCGTAGTAAGTTACATTAGAACATTTCTAAATATAAAATTTAAATATTGAAATTATTGAAGTTATGTTTAGTCTAGTATATTATAAATTGTACTCATGAAAAAAACAAAAATAAATGTAACTTTAGAACATTTTTTTTTTTTTAAACAAATTTATTTTTTATAATTTTAATTTTAACAAAATTCTATAAATAAATAGATGATGGTAACTGGAGGCATTTTGAAATATTTTTTTTTCAAATCTCAATTTTCTTCTTATTGCTTGTGCATCATCCATTGTGTTCAGCTGATTTTGAAAAAGAAAAGAAAAAACTTTTTTTATCTAAATCTAAAAATAGAAGGCAAAGTTCATTAACAAAGAATGGCGTTTTAAAACAAGGACGAATTTTGCACGTCAAACTAGCGATAGATAGATATGTCTCAAGGGGGAAAACTTTAAGAAGGGGGGGGGGCAGGGGGCATTACCCCACCCTATAAATCTTATTTTCCTCTCTTAAAACTGAAGAACACAAAAAAAGTATTTGTCAAAGATTTTTTGTAATATCGTATGCATACGCCTCTGAATACACCTTTATAAAGATTATAATTATTAACAATCATTATAGTACCTATTTGAAGAAACTGAAGAGAAATTTTAAAAAAGTTATAAAAAGTAGGTAGACTAAACTAACTAAAGAATAAGAATATCCGGTTGATATCACACAATAGTTTCAGCAAAAGTAAATATTTCCATTTACTGATAGCGCCGATACAAGGATTCATAACTCTAATTGGNCCCTCTCTCCTCCCCCCGCCCCTCGTTAGGACCTAATCACCCTTTAATAGCTAATTATCTGGTAGTTTCAGATGGGCAGCGAAGGAAGGGGGGAGTCTCAAGGCGGCCATATTTGTTTAATATTTAAAATTTATTATTCAATGTGTCATAGGCCAAACCAATTTAATTTCTTGCTGATTGATTTGTCTTTCTAATGAATTTCAAGGTTATAAAAGCACATGAATTTTTTTTATCCTAACTTCACATATAAGGATATAAAACTATCACCCTGTATGATACTTTTATACTTTCACCTTTTAAAAAAAATCTTTTATAATAAATTCTTTCTAAATTCTAATTGTTTTTAGTTAGAAAAAAAACGTTAAAAAATAATATGAATTTTGCCAAAAAGCAAGTTATTTTTATATCATTATAATTTTTTTATTCTTTACTACAGCATATAACAGGGATCGATAAGACTGTTATTAAGTGTTCCTTCAATTTTAATACTTGGTAGACTTTGAAGTGTCACAATTCCTTGTGTTACTCACTTAGGGTTTTTGTGGGCTTAATCATGGTACATTTTAGAACCAGAAACCACTTAGACGTGGTACATTTTAGAACTAGAAACCACTTAGACATGGTACATTTTAGAACCAGAAACTACTTAGACATGGTACATTTTAGAACTAGAAACCACTTAGACGTGGTACATTTTAGAACCAGAAACCAATTAGATGTGGTACATTTTAGAACCAGAAACCAATTAGACATGGTACATTTTAGAACCAGAAACCAATTAGACGTGGTACATTTTAGAACCAGAAACCA